TGAACAATATAAACCTCACAGTGGCTGCAGCACACAAATACTCAGCCATCATTGTTGTTGTATTCACCTGTCTGAAGCTCATTCTGTGTGCACTGTGCACCACAAAGCCCTCCACAACCAGCTCTTCAGGTAAAACTACTCCTTCATTTTCAGATGCATAATATAACCAGTCCACTCAGCTTCTGTCACACCGCACTCCTCAGATAGCCTTTAAACACTGCTGAATCAGCAGTCTGCAGTCAGTCGGACAGGGACACCGACACACACCTCACTGAAGGCAGAAGTTCATAAGTGAATATAGAAGTCAGAAGAAGAAGAAGGATCCACCATGAGCATGTTAGCCAGACCCAAGATGTACGTGGTGATCACGTAACTACGTAGTTATTAGTTAAAGTAAACCTTTTTCACAGTTCTAATTTGTGCCAAGTAAGGTCTAAGAGCTTTCAATTGTTATTAATCCCACAAAATATAAACTCACCAGTGAGAGCTTCTTCTCTGCTACAGCTTCTTTTGTTCCATCCTCATGAGTTTTTCATGTGACTTTTGCTCGTACTCTGTAACTAAATTAACCTAAATTAAAGGTAAAATTATGATTTATTGTGAATTTTTTCACCCTTGAAAACTGCTATATTATTCTTATTGATAGTAGGAAAGAGAGGGAGGGAGGAGTTACCAAACAAATGGCCCCCCTCCCCATAATTCTCTGTGTACTGCTGCAGGGTCAAAGTTCAAGCCGAGAATTCCACAGTTCCTCTGTGTGTGTGTGTGTGTGTGTGTGTGTGTGTGTGTGTGTGTGTGTGTGTGTGTGTGTGTGTGTGTGTGTGTGTGGTTGATTATAGAGACTCACTTCAAATAATACACATCATTACACATGTCCATATTCACAGCACCTCTCTCACACACACACATTGTAAGTGTTGTGTGTGTTATGGTGAGCTGATGGTGCAGATGATGTTTTGATGGTCAAACTGATCATTGATATTGATCACACTGTTAGAGGTCACATATGTTCAACTGACTGAGAATGATTATGATGTGTGTGTGTGTGTGTGTGTGTGTGTGTGTGTGTGTGTGTGTGTGTGTGTGTGTGTGTATGAACAATGAAGATGACTTTAATACAAATGTTAAATCTTCATGGCAACATGTGGTGAAAAGCATTTGTACTTTTCTGAAGTTGTTTTTTGTTGGTATTATTCTTCAACCGACACACTTTGATTAGGAAACTTCATTCAAACCTATCATTTTCAAAATACTGAAGTTTGTTTCAGCATAATTTAGAATGGGAGTCAATGGGTGGAGTCTTCAAACCCACTCCTCCAGCCCTTTCATATGTAACTTCATTCAAAACTTCAAAACCGTCGACCACACGTGGGACACACTTTCACAATGAGCTTTTTCATATCTTTCATAGTCAAAGATTAGTTTTATGCTTTTTCTACAAATTTTTTTCAGATATTTTATATTGTTGTGTACAGGCATTTCTAAGTCCCACGACTGCTCCCATACAGACCTCACATGCAAACAATTAACATTTGAAGACTTTCCTCTGAAAGTTTTGCCTCTTCTAGTTTGTAGTTATTTTGCATTTATCCACTTGTTCAGACAGCAGTTAAATGACTCGACATTGACCATGTAAATCCTTAAAATGCTGCTTATTCATTATTCTATCAGTAATAATAATCCAATAATCTAATATTATTTTGCATAATTTATACTTTCACTTTAATGCGTTTTTATATTTTGTTTACTGAAGTTAAACTTTCAAAGGATGACACTGACTTGTAATGGGGTATTTTTCTACTGTGGTATTTCTTCTTTGACTTAAATAAAGGAGCTTATGGGAAATGATCTGACGTTTATTTTTCTTTGTTGAGAGCTACCTTGACTGTTTGTCAGGCACAGAGTATAGGATGGAGCCCCGCACCACTGCACCCTCTGCTGCCACACAATGACAGTGCAACAATCTGCTGGCATACTGAGTAATCAGCAGGAAAAGGTTATATGAGCACATACACACATTCAGAATCTGATTTTATATTTCTGTTATTAATGTAATTTATATTTGGATTATTTGTACTTGTGTAATACATTTTCACTCATTTGTACTTTATATATGTGTATTTGTGTATTTATGTGTGTGTGCTATGTGTGTTTTATTCTGTTTTTCTAAATGTTCTAAAATCATCATCATCATCATCATCATCATTATCATTATCTTTATATTAACCTAAAAGCATTAAAGTACATTGCGTCATTACATACACACCCACACCAACACACACATATATGTGTATGTGTACATACTGTGACATACTGTATTTTTTTCTGGAAAAATAAATACAATGTTTTATGTCATTATATGACATTTAGGTTATATAATGAATTATACATTCTAAATAAATCTACAAAACCCTCACAATATTGCAATCTAGTTAATTATTTTAATTTTGTCAAAAAAACATTTTGTTTTATTTATTTGTTAACACCTTGAAATACTAAATACAAATAAAAATAAATACTATTTTGTGAATTGTAAATTTTGAAAGTTGTAACACCTAACAAATAAGATCAAATTAAATGATAGTGTAATTAACTAACAATGTGAAAAGGAACAATTATAATTATTTCTAGAGAAATTGAAAAGGAACATAATATATTGTGGTTTCTAAATTCAACACAAATGTAGCATATTGTAAGAACATGAAATAGGAATGTTATTTATTTATTTGTTTTTATTAGAATTGTTTACACAGTATAATTGAATAAACAAAGTGAAATCTCTTACGACAGAATAGTTCATTATTTACAGTCAGAGACTGCACTGACAGAGCAGTGTTTAGCAGGTGCCATACACAGTACATGATATCACCAGCAGACTTAACTGTCTTCCATGTCAGATTAGAGTAATTTCACCTTCCACTGAGAAGCATTACAGAAATAAATTCCAGTACTTTCTTCTGGAGTCAAATCCACATCATATCTTTCAGTATTCATATTGTATTTCCTAAACAAATGAAATGTAAAGAGGAATATTACAGCCATAACACTTGATTTCAGCTCTTTTATAGAGTTGAAGTCCCCTGCGGGTCCTCTGGTAAACCACCATGGTTTGCTCTGATGTTCAACACTCCACACAGTTATTGAGAGTTCAGCATTCTCACTGACTTTATTACCTCAGAGCAGAGCTTCCCACACACACATTCATCAGTAACATGTTACCGCAGTGCTCAGCATTCAAACAAACACACAGAAGAGTACAGTAGTAGTGGTGTTATTACTGCAGTAGTGGTGATTGTGGTATCTGCTAACAGCATTCACTTTATATGTGAGTTATGCTTGTGATGTTACAGGGTTGAATCACCAGAGGAGAGGACGTTAAACTGCCTCCCAAGCCCCACCTGGTGGTTAATAGAAGCACTGCAGCCACAAATGCACGCCCTGCTGAACATTACCCATGACCAGCACCAAATAGCTTGAATGAAATGAGCTAAGATAATCAATTCTGAGACCAATCTGAACTCTATGAATGGCACTTCTTAGGCCTATGTGATTATTATTTCATTGTAGGAATATTGCCAGTGTTGAAAGAGATTTGGAAGTACTCACTCAAGCTTTTATTATTACTGGATTGTAATCGTTTTACTGGATTAGCTTAGAATGCATGCACTCATTAATGACTAACAACTGTATTTAGCATGTATATTTTTGTCTGTTAGAGGTGGAAACATAAAATCTACTGTATTGTAGGAATACATAGAACAATGTCTTTAAGGTCTGCACAATAGAGGGACAAAGCAACAATTATGAGTTTTATTTTTGAATCTATATTGTAACAACTAATATTTGTATCTAAAATAAAATGATCGCATGAAATTCACTGGGTTTCCTGTAAAACAAAAAATAAAAATAAAAAAGCAACCCCTTGTGACTTTTGACTTAAAAGAGTAAAAAACGTGCCTCAAATTACCAGTCTGAACAGTTCCAGCGGGTTTGTGCTTAGCTCAGCTAGTTCTTTATGTGCTGTAAAGGAAATTCTCAAATTATTCAAGGAAAATGGGTCACGTTAACCCACTGCTGAAGACACTGCACCGTGAATTTAAAGTTCTTTTACTCGTTCACTAAGCTTTCAATGACTTGCTCCTCCCTACATCAGAGATTTCCTTTCATTTTATGTTCCAGTCAGATCATTAAAGGTCCTCCACAGCTTTTCTTTGAAATTTACCTCATGTGTCCCATAAAAGTACCTGTGAGAGTGCCTAAACTCACTCACTCACTGCCTGGATATTGGAATGGCAAACTCTCTCTCTGTAGTTTAAAAAGGAAATTGAAGATCCATCTTTTAAATCTGCTTTTAAAACTGAAGTGATCTTATAGCCTTTGTTTTTAGGTTTAATCTTTTTTTTCCCATTATTTCTAATCTCTAGTGTATATTTTATTTGATTCTACAGACTTTTATTTATTAATTTCTAACATTTTATTATTTATGATTTATATATTATTACATTATTTTGCCGTAGTAAAAGACTTTTATTTGTTTAATCTTTTGTTTTTTGTGTTTTTTTATGCGTTTCAATTTTGCTATGTGAAGCAGGTTTTTTTACATAAAGTGCCATATAAATAAAGATGAGTCGAGTTAGCATTTTGACATTTTACTCTAAAATGATGATCTCAAGTGTACCAAATATTTAAGAATGTTATAGTGGCATGCGTAAAACCTGGAGAGGTTTCCTGAGCCAGTTAGAGGTCACCAGCAGATGGCAGTGTTACATAAACAGAGGCACACACACTGTCCAAGTTCAGATGTAAAATCTTTCATAAACATTACAAAGATGAAATGGACCAATTCATGAGACGATAGATTCAGTGTGGTTATTCTTCCTTATGTTCACATGAAATACATCTATATCAATAATTAAATAAAACAATAATCATTACGTTGTATTATTATAATATAGGCCTGCAAAACTGTGTGTAACTACACAAAACAGAGGCTGCCATCCTCTGATTAGAGGGTGTTAACCTTCTTTTTTAATATAAATGTTGTGACACCAGTAAATGTTTACACCAGCATTGATGTGTTTTATCACAGTATAGTCATATGATTCAGTTTACAGCTCAAAAACACATTTTAGGTTGGAGTACCTCTTTATTGAAGGTTTTTTACTTTGTAAACAAATATGTTTTTAGGCTGACCTATGTGTTCTCTGATGACAACATATCTTAGAAGCTTCATACATACCAGCCCAGATTTTGTGAAGGTTGACCTAAAATATGCACCTTTTTTGTTTAACCATTAGATGGCAGAATTGTATAACTTTAATTCAGAAAGACTGATCCTCATTAGTCTAACACTCTTATAGTACTGGATGTGTAGTATATGTAGTAAATCCTCCTGTGGACACCCATAAGTAGAGGCTTAAAAATTCCTTACATCTGCTTACAACTGCATAATAGTGTGTTATAAACCATCAAATGTTGATATAGTGCCCATCAATTCTAAACAGAGGGGCGGAAGCAAATTATATATTATATGTACATTTGTATAGCACTTTATCAAACCAATATTACAGTGATAGAAAAAAAAAGAAAAGATAAAGGAATAGAAACAACACATATTTGTAAATTACACACTGGATACAAATATAAAAAGTGCAGTGTGAAACAATATGCCAGGCTTAAAGGGCATGCAAATTATTCATAGGCTAATCGATAATAATTAATTTTAGGAAGCTGTTTAAAAGAAGATAATAATTCAACAGCTTGAGCTCCTGTGTGACCAGAAGGCCAGACAGCAAAGGCAAACAATCCCCTCTAGTCTTGCATTTAGACATGAGAACAAAAAGACTGGCTGCTGCACTTTGTATTAGTTGGAGCCAGTGGCATACTGAATGTCTGAAATACTGTTTAAAACTGAATTACATTTATTCAGAAACATATAAGACTATGAAAATAATACAACATGTTAAATGAAAATCAGTGAAATGTAATAGAATGAAAGTTTTGCATTTAATACTTTGTTTCAGCCTTAGCCTGCCATGTAGTCATGCACATGCATCCAAGATTAAAAATAAAATGTGATGGCAAGATAGTAAGGGCACAAACAGGCTGTAATTGTGGCTGTAATGGGAACTATTAGTAAAGCTTTAGATAGGCATAGTGGAGATATACCAGAAATATAAGGTAGAGGATGACATATGCAGCAAAGGATCCGGGCCAGATTTGAACCCAAACTGCTAGTTAGTCTCAGTAGTACATGCTACGTGCTCTATGAGCCACCAGGCTGACCCTACAACAAACAATGTGATCTCTTATATGATGTGGTGTAGACCCTTCTCCCTTGCAGTTTCCCACCTTTGAAAACCACGTATCAAGTCCATATATGTGTAGTCTCGTAGTTTGCATCATAAAATAATATTTGGACACTCTTTAACAAGTGCACAATACTGCAAATGAACCAGTGCCGAGAACACTCAATGCAGGATAGACGGGTTCAGTGAATGTGCAGTGGAAGGTGTGGAGGTGCATCTGTGTGTCAGAGGAGACGCTGTAGAAGGACAGAATGCCAGCAGGCCAGTCCAGATACACTGCTACTCTACTGACAGTGCCGCTGAACGATGTGACTGTGGCCTTTCCGTTGTGCCAAACAATTTTCTTGTTGTTGTCTAAGCACCAGGACTTTTCATTCCACCCGAGCAGAGAGTCATCCTGCCGTCCTTTCCTGCAGATTCCTCTATATGTCACTCCGGCATAAGCTGGTCCTTTCCACTCCACCTCCCAGTAACAGCGTCCAGTCAGACCATTTGCACACAGAACCTGGTTCCTGTAGTCAAACCGCTCTGGGTGATCAGGATATGGTTGCTCCTCTCTTACCCTTGTCACCTGTTTGCCATCTGGAGACAGGACAAACCACTTGTGTGCTGTGTTTGGGTCAAGTGTGAGTTCACATGCATCTGCAAGGAGGGACAGAAACTGTTTTAAATTTAAGGCCAACTTTATTTACAGAGACTAGTTGCAAAGTGTTTTTAGGATCACATTAACATCTGATAACAAGAAATTGAGGTGAAGTAGAGTATGAGGACTAATGGGATGTTAGCAGGGGTTAGGGACAGATATGATTCCTTAAGATGCTGAAGAATGTTTTTTAAACTGTCATGCTTTTCGAGAGTTGCATGCGCATCTACAGCGCAGGTACAGGTGATGGTTAGCATTTTCAATAAGTGTGTAAAGCTATGTTAGCAGCTCTGTAAAGCTGTACTTAATATCATCTTACTTTGTTTGCATGCTTGCTATACATGTTATACACACTATACAATAGTGACATTAAGATGCTGATGCTTAACTAACATTAGCTAATTAGCACTAAAACATTAAAAAGATGGCAGACATTATACCTGCTCAATATGACCATGTTAGCATTGTCAGAGCCACTGGCATGGCTGGAAAGTCTTCTTGTTCATATTTATGACTCTTGTCTTTAATCATCCCTCTGTATGATGTTAAGTTGCTTAAAGTTTACTACACTCTAACTAACACAAGGTCGTGTTTTAAGAGCAAATAACGAGCCAAAGGTCTATGACCAACATGCAACAGATCTACTTATGTAGAAAAGGACCCACAAGGTTTCCTAGTTTACTATATTTTTTAACAATGTATAACTTAAAAGTTAAGTTATAGATTGTTAAAAAATATATAGTATAAATCAAACAGTAGTGAGGACATCAAGGGTGAGATGGCACTGCTATGTTCATACTGCTAAATTCTGATTAATTGCTCATTTCAGATCATTCAGAAGATTCTTTTTTTAAATGTGGCCACTATTAGATTCCAGTGTGAACAGCTCATGGTCCTGAAATTACCCGCATGACAAACGTAGATCCAGAGTGACATAAAAGTCACATGAATTCTGATATGACTGTTCACACTGAAGACACATTGCAAAAAATCTGTTTAGATTCCATGTGATTGGTGCTGTTCACACTGTCATGAAAAAATCGGATCTGAGTCACATATGAGCAAAAAAGTCACATTTTTACGTGCAGTGTGAACTTAGCCAGACAACAGATGGAACAAATATCTCTTAGACCCCATACAACTGATCATGGATCACTCAAGAAATGAGCTTTGTGTACATGTTTGGAAATATGATCAGAAACAGCACACACTGATTTCTGCTAAACTTTATCAGCACAGGGTAGAGTGAGAGTAGTAGAATGGATAAGGGGAGAAAAGCACTTACATTTCCGAAGCCCAGGCACGATCCTGAACTTTCCACAATGATCAGCACTGAAGCAGAAAATAGGGCATATCATCATCAGTTCTGCCTGTGTTTGACAGAAACCCTGCCTGCATGATTATCCTTACAGACCAGATACACTCCATAACAGACAGAAAGACAGCAGGCCCACATTCAGCTTTGTAAATACTGTATTGACGCTTGTAGAACCCAAATTATGGAAAGCGTATAAATTCGCTGCTGCAGGTTCATTCATTCATTAATCCAAAGTTGCTGTTGTAGGCTCCATTTTTAAGGAAACTTCATTATTTAATTCTGAATGCTATTGATAGCATTTGCTTGTACTTTTACTTAAAATACTTACTTACATTAAAATCAGAAAATTACTTTTGATACTTAAATATAGTAAATATCAGATACTTTAAGACTTTTACTCAAGTAATATTCTAATTCTAATTTTAAGTCATTTTCTGGTAAATATCTGTACTTCATCCACCACTCCTTAAAAGGTGCTAACTTTTTGAATGCAGATTTGAGTCACACTTTATATACTGTAGCGCTGGCACGGTTGGAAAAGAGAAAGCTTATGAATAACCTGAACAATTACAGGGAAATTTCCCTGTGCTGTTGAGCCAACCTGAACCCGCAAAGATGGTTCAGCATACGTCCATATATAATTATCATATTTCAACTGAAGCTAATTATTTATTAGGTTGTTATTATTGTACAGGTTTGCTTTAAGGTGTATGCTTCAAACTAAGTGCTTGTTAGATCATGGAATGATGTCTGAAACCCCCTTCCCCACATTATTTTTAATTGGAACTGGGGGGGCTGCTTCCAACCATTTTGGAACTAACAAGACAAGTACACCGACTTCAAACAGTTATTGTTCAGTTGTGCAGAGATGATTTAAAATCTCTCAGGCTCTCTTTTATAAATTCTTCACACAACCAAGTGTGATGACATCAATGCTATTGATGAGAGATTGGAAAAGAGAGTACCATTATCCCTATTTGTATGATCTGTTGCATTTTATTTTCCTTCTTTATGACAGCTAACCTTTTGCCCAGAGGATGTGGTCATTAGCAACAGGTATCAACTCTTTTGCCTTTTGGCGTGTGATGGCACCACATACAAACTAGTTTATTACAGGTATAACCCAGTCTGTAAAGTACACCGGGCTTTACATGAGTGTTTCAACTAAAACAGCGAGAGCAAAGCAATGAATGTTGACATTAAATGAGCCTAACACAATTACAGCTTCTAGTAGAAGCCTTCTACTAAAGATCAGCCAACATTTAAAAGAGCTGAGAACGTCCAAAATAGCCACTGAGCAGCTCGTTATGTTACAAGAAATCCCTGCATAAGAGGCAATAACTACTAATGAAATGTATATACCTGAGAATGTCCAGTCTCCACTGTGGATCCTCTCTCACAGCCGAGAGCATCTTCACCCCCGAGTCTCCCGGATGATTGTAGCTCAGGTCCAGCTCTTTCAAATGGGAGGGGTTAAACCTCAGAGCTGAGGCCAAAGAAGCACAGCCTTCCACTGTGATCATGCAGCCTGACAACCTGATTAGAGTACATGCTTCCATGGACTTTACCAATTTCATGCTTGCATGTTGGAATTAAGATTTGATAATCACTATGGAAATGCTTCAGGAATACTGACCTAAGTGTTTCCAGTCTACAGCGTGGATATTTTAGTCCACTATACAGCAGCTGCACTCCTAAATCCTGCAGGTCGTTGTTGCTCAGGTCCAGTTTTTTTAGACTGGAGAACTTGGAGCAGAGCACTGAGGCCAGATATAAACAGCTTTTCTCTGCCAGGTTACACATATTCAAGCTGAAGAAGATTTAGACAATTGGTTTGCTTCAAGCCGATGAAATTAAGGCTGGGATATGACATTTTACCAATGTTGTTATACATCATGACAGATATAACAGAAACATACATAGAAACCGAAAACTGTATCATTAATATAAGTCAACAGACCTGAGAGTTTCCAGTCCACAGTGTGGACTCTCCAGTCCAGCTGAGAACAGCTTCAGTCCTGAATTCTGCAGGTTGTTGTTACTCAGGTCCAGCTCTCTCAGACTGCAGTATTGTCCCACATTGTGACAGCATGCCTTTGTTAGCTCTGAGTAGCTTGGTCTAAGGAAAATTGGCAATAAAAGAAAGTCAAGAGGCATACTCAATAGCTATAAATATAGTTAACTTACTGTAGGCTACAGAAATAAATGTATAACTATGTCAATTGTTACAGATATAGTATATACAATAGTTGTACATATTTTTATGAAACAAAAAAGAAAATTATTTATACAACATTAATTATACAGCACAACTATACAATTAACTCACAGTGCTAAATTGGGAAATGTATCCATGGTACACACATAAACTGCTAACCAAATTATAACCACTCAGTCACTCACTCACTCACACATTTTAAGATTTGTTGTTGTAGTGATGCCTACATATGACCAACATAAACAGAAGATTGGCTTTTTCTATATTGGCTATTTTTAATGTCTGCCACTGGGTGTGATTCGGTTGGATTTTCCTTGGAATAAATAAAACAAGGTGGTGGAAACACTACCAGTTCTATCCACAAGGGCCGCCAGAATCAACACAAAATGAAAGTTCCCTGTTGTTGCTTTATATATCAATGAGCACACTCACTTGTAAAACCACTAGAATAAAAATGTAAGTAAGTGACTAAGAAATGATAAATAATATACTGTACAATTGTTGGTGTGGTGTCGGTCCTGCATTCCCTAGTCGCCTCTTTTTTGTGTTTCTTTGATGATTGTTGCTCTGGTCCAGCTCTTTCAGATGGGACGGGTTGGAGCTCAGGGCTAAGGCCAAAAAAGCACAGCCTTCCTTTTTGATCTCACAGTTTGACAACCTGCATAGAACAGTGTATCATTCATGTGTACTGTACTTGACTATTTTCTTCTTTGGCTCTGAACTCTATAAAAATGAAATAGTCATGTAAAGCAGTTCAAGGGAATGGATACTTTATAGTAGTAAAGCTAGCAAAGCTTTTCATTCTATAAGCAGATCCTCCACATCTTTTAAGTCGATTCAGGAATACTAACCTTAGTTTTTCCAGTCTACAGTTTGGACTCTCAAGTCCAGAAGAGAGCAGTTTCACTCCTGAATCCTGTAGGTTGTTGTTACTCATGTCCAGCTCTCTCAGCTTGGAGGACTGAGTGCTGAGAATTGAAGCCAGAGCTTCACAAGACAGCTGGGACAGCTGACATTGGTTCAGTCTGTTTTAGAATTAGACACAGAGTAAGTTATTGTGTTTTATGATTATATATTATATCATCTTCTTCTTCTTCTTCTTCTTCTTCTTCTTCTTCTTCCAGACATTGATTATAATGTGACTAAATCAATATATAAGCCAATAGCAAACTGGGTGATGTTGACAGGGACTGAAATATACTTAAATCCCAAAAGCTAAACAGTGTTTGAACCAAAGTATCTCACCTACATAGAAGCCCAAGACCTATCACATTCAGCAACATTTCAATGTGTTGTGACAAAGGTTCCTTTTTAATATGAAAGTGAAAAACCCCTATGTTATTTAATGTAGTTGCACCTTAGGTACCTTGGATGCAAGATATCTGTCCTATATGTGTCAGGTAAAATGTGAATAGTTATTATATAGCCTATATTCCACCTCCAGATTCCTCAAAATAAATTTAATGTATAAAGTGATAGAAATATTTTATAGTCTTTAAACAACTTAAAACAAGTTCTTACAGTGCAGTTGTTGAGACTTTGACCAAAGGCAGCATTCTCATTAGAACCTCTTCTGAATTTGAGTATTTGTTGAGGTCAAACACATCCAGATCTTTTTCAGATGACAGTAACACGTAGACCAGGGCTGACCACTGAGCAGGAGAAAGATGTGCTGTGGTGAGGCTTCCTGTTCTCAGATAATGATGGATCTCATCCACTAGTGAACAGTCCTTCATTTCACTCAGACAGTGGAAGAGGTTAATGCATCTCTCTGGAGAGGGATTCTCCCTGATCTTCTTTTGATGTAATTCACTAGTTTCTGGTTGGTCTCTGTGTTTCTTCCTTTTTGTTTCAGCAGGCCCTGTAAGAGATCCTGATTTGACTTCAACGAAAGGCCCAGGAGGAAGCGGAGGAACAAGTCTAGATGTCCATTTGGACTCTGCAAGGCCTTGTCTACAGCTTTCATACAGACCTCAATTGAAGATGGTTTCTTGAAAAGCATCTGCAGATGTTGGAGAAGTGTTTGGGGCTCCGCCATCACATCCTTCCTGTCATTAAAGAGTGACAGGACCACAAAAACAGCTGCCAAAAACTCATGAATGCTCAGATGCACGAAACAAAACATCTTGTCTTCATTCAGTCCATCTTCTTCTTTAAAGATCTGTGTGAACACCCCTGAGTACAGTGATGCTTCACTAAGATCAATGGCACTGTTCTTCAACTCTGCTTCATAGAAGATCAGATTGCCACTCTCCAACTGGTGAAAAGCAAGCTTTGCAAGGGACTGAATGATCTTGATGTTCTTATTTGTGTCATACTTTAGTGCTGTCTGCTTGATCTGAAACACAAGGAATTTTGTATACATCTCAGTCAGAGTTTGAGGGATTTCTTTTCTCTCATCCTCCCTTACCATTTGCTTCAGAACTGTAGCAGTGATCCAGCAGAAGACTGGGATGTGGCACATGATGTGGAGGCTTTGTGATGTCTTGATGTGGGAGATGATTCTGTCGGCAATCTCTGAATCTCTGAATCTCTTCATGAAGTACTCTTCCTTCTGTGGATCAGTGAACCCTCTCACCTCTGTCACAATGTCAACAAAGTCAAGAGGGATCTGATGAGCCGCCGCCGGTCGTGTGGTTATCCAGAGGCGAGCAGAAGGGAGCAGTTTACCCTTGATGAGGTATGCAAGCAGTTCATTCACCAACAATGGCTCATCAACAGAACATTCTTCCTTGTCACTGAAGTTGAGCTCAAGGCGGCTTTCGTCCAGCCCATCAAGCACAAACAGAAGTTTAAATTTACTTTTGTTATAGTTGGTATTTCCTGAAGCCTGCAGTTTTGTGAAGATGTAATTCAGTGCTTCCTCTGTGATATCTTGACTTTCCCTGATACATTTGTGAATGAGCTCTGCAAAACTAAACCTTCTCCCCTTCAGTAAATTCAGCTGGCGGAAGGTGAAGGGGAATGTGAGATGCACATCTTGATTGGCTCGTCCTTCAGCCCAGTCCAGGATGAACTTGTAAACCAGGAACGTTTTGCCTATTCCTGCAATCCCATTGGTCAGGACCGTTCTTACAGGTGTGTTTTCTCCAGAAGGGTGTTTGAAAATGTTGTTGTGCTGAATTGATCGCTCTCTTCCGTCTGGTTTTCTTGATGCCATCTCAATGTGCTTGACCTCATGCTGCCCACTGAGATCTACATCATTCCCATCTATGATGTAGAGCTCTGTGTAGATATCATCCAGAAGTTTCTTATCCTTCTGCTTTGACGACCCCTCTGGTATAGACATAAACTTGTTCTGGAGGTTTGACTGGAGCATGCGTTGGTATGATGTGATGGGTTGTGCAGGCTTTGGTCTTTGCACCAACAAATCTGTAGGGAATAAAGTCACATTCTTCAGTGTAGCAGGCCTGCCCATATCTTGGGTCCTACAAAATCTGTTTAAGGTGCTTTCTGACAGCAAGTGACCAGGCAACATGGTGTTCTGTATTTTAAATCAGCACTAGTAGGGCACAATGCCGTCGCTGCTCCTACTGATCGTGAACAACACAGACCGCTGCTATCCACCTACTGTAATCTCTTCATGCAACTAAGTAGAGAGGGTTGTAGCTCAAAATAGAGGAAATGCTTAGCAAAATGACAATAATATTCTACATTAATATGGAAACTTTTGCTAACTAGTATCATATACTTTATTGTCCTAGGGGGGTTGTACTATGAAGAGAGTTTAATCTACTCACATTTAAATCTGGGTTATCAAGAAAAGTTAGGGCTGACGAACACTGATTGCCTACATTGGTGTTAAACGGTACTATGACAGGGATGTCAGTTAGTTGATTTGGTGTCAACTTAATTGCAGTTTGAGGTTGTTCGCAGAAGGGATGTGTTTGGCATCGCATTAAGTTTTTTCATAATGGCTCGTGCTCCATATTTTTCTTCAGAAGAAAGAGTAATAGTGTTCTTTTAGCTCTTTGACAAGAAACCACTGAATTTGTCAAAAAGAACCATATTAAATATGTATGATTGTTAAAAATATTAAAAACGACAGAGACTTTCTGACTTCTTCAAAGTTGCAAAAATATCAGGAAAACTACTTTCTGATCAACATTCACAGGAAAAAAATCTGCTCAAAATCTATCCAAGTTGTTTGTTTTACACAAACTCCTTAAAACATGTCAGTTAGTCAGTTCAGGCAATAATGGTTGATAGCAAATGTCTCCCTGGTCACATTGCTGTTTCTTAAGCGATATAATGGATGAAATCATTAGAGCAGCTGCTAAAGCTTCACCTTCATCCTGAGCACCAGGGGCTTCAGGGTGAGGAAGAGCTGCCTGTGCTTGCTGAATGTAAGAAGCTCCTGTGTTCTCTGAAGTCTTCCCAACATCAGTGGCATCCTCTGAGAGAGACAGACAGATATGAAGAGAGAGAGATTATTTTTTCTCAAATAATGATAATCTTGGAACTGAAATTATTCTGTTGTTCAGATTTTACTTACTGTTGGGTTCTGAAACCCTTTCAGAAAAACACACCACTAAATCATTCCTGCTGATTTTCTTCAGAATTTCCTCAGTGATCTGCAGAGCTCCAGGAAGGCTGTATGTCTGCACCATCCGATCCACTGTGTCCTGCCGGTCAGCCTCTTCCAGTTGGCTCTTTGGAATAGCTGGGAAGCCTTTGACATTGCCAGCCTTTAGGAACCACTGGAAATGCTTGAACTCCTCAATCCCCAAGTCCTGCAGAACTCCAAAGAGGAGCTCCATTTGTGACGCCATCACTGCTCACATAAAGAGAGGACAGATTGATAGTCAGTCACCAATTGATTATCATGCAGCAGATTTATTGAGCTAAATGGATAAGTGGCTGTGAGCATGGTGTCTTGCCTGCCTAATCAAAAGTTAAGCCTTTTTTTTTACAGGAAATACCAGTACCGTTTCAAGCTTCTGGTTGGGTGGGGCAGCCTACAACCCACCTCCAAGGTCATCCACTTTCCACCCTCTCCTCTCGCAGTTTTCAGACACAAACATATGGAGCACAGAAGAAGACCTGCATAGAACCTGCACAGAATAGACTTGTTTGAGATGAGTTGGAGTTTACAACGAAAGTAGATTAGAGTAGCCGCTTGCAGCCAGGGGAGGTATAAGAAGTGTCCCTGAAGTCAAACAGAGTTGAATGCAGCCGTGGTGGGGCGTTTCTGTAGAGCACAATGCCCACTGTTCTGATTGGCTGGGATTTCCACGCAAAAGATAAATTATATTTTAAAAAATGTATTTAAATGACTATTTAAAACAGTAATAAGGAGCCTTATTCATATGTTATGATATAGTCAGTAGTTATCTTCTGTAGGCTTTGTGAGGACATGTGGAAGTTCATGGTGACAGCAAGCACACAGCCCAACTAGCTTAACTAGCTAAGCCCGCTCTTTGTTAAGATTGAGTTAGTACAACTAACTTAAATTAATGTCACACTAAGCAGTTACTTTGCCCAATCTGTTTAATCAAAGTCACTAATGGTCAAATTAACTAGCTTTCTTAGCTCTGATTGGTGGTTTTTTTAGGCGTGGTGGATACTTGAGTTTTGGGTAGGAGGTAATGTTCACCATCCTGGTTTATCATGTTAACATGATAACATTTAGCCGCACCTATAGTGTCATATGGGTTTAATATGGAAAAACATATAAACAAATAAAATATAAACAGTGGCTTTTCTAACCGTTTGGCCATTGGCTGTTTGAAAACACAAACCAAAAGTAAATCTAAAAACGAAAGAAGATTACAACAAACATAAGGAAAATATATTTAAGATAAACACATGAACATCTATCTTGCTAAACTATTCCTCCAAGTTAGAGGTGACTGGAAAATACATAGATTAACTCTGTGCCCAAGGTATACACAACATCAATATCATGCTTGTTTCGACCATGTTTCCTGGCTGATGGGCTGCAGTACTCAAAGTTTTAGTCCCACGCCTCACATTAAGATTTTAAAAATACAAATCACTAAAAGTATTGTTTTCTATAGACAAACACAATAGATCTATAAAACTCCTAATTTTAAATATATTTAAAGAACCCTACCGGATCAGACCACCAAGTCACACGAAGGCTGTCCCCAGGTCCTGTCCCTGAGGTGTGTTGCAATGCAGGAAGAAGGCAGAAGGGAACATTTAGCCCCTGGAGGTCTTCCTGCCTGGGTCCTAGTGCAATACTTCTTATTATTTATTTATTTATCTTCTCCTTCTTTTTACTCAACTTTTTCATTGTACAACGAAGAATGCCATCACAACAAGAAAAAACACATTTCAAATTGAGGTTGCCATATTATTTATCAAAGTGGAACAGTCTCCAAGTTGACAAATTAATGCTGCAAATCAACCTTTTCAAACATCTTGAATAAAGTGGACTTAGGAGTGTGAATTATTTCTGGACAGAATGTTTGACTTCAAATTTTATTTAAATAAAATTCTCAAACAGAAGAAACTGCACTGTTAAAAGATACTGTTAACAAGTTAAATCAGTCAAATTTGTGCAGCTCATCCTTGTCCCTTTTGGTTAAATAATCTTCCATCATTTAACCAAAAGGGACAAGAATAGAAATAATACAGTTTAACAATGTCCTGAAATCAAGATAAATAAGCCAGATATTCTTTACAGTGTTTATTAGGGAGTCTATCTGGCCTGCTTATATGTTTTAATAGAAACAAATTGTCACTGACCTGATGATCCGCTGTCCCATCATTAGACATAACACATTCAAAGTGTTAACCAAGTGAAAGCATTTGGGGAACTGACTCCGGGAATCAACCAGTTATGACTAAATTCCTTCCGTAGTTTCAACATCAGCGCTATTCTTGCTTCACTGGGGAAACTGACTGAACTCAGCAAACGTGTATTTAGGTTACTGTTATCAACCATTTGTTCCAGTTAATTTGACCAAAATAAGTGTATAGATGGAAAATTAGTTTCATTTATATTATTAGTGGGTTATATAATAGTAGTAACAACAGCAGCAGCAGCTGTAGTACCAGCAAAGGTAGAACATAACAGAACTGAACACACATTTGGTTGAGCAAGTATCTGGCAATGTACTTCTGTTTTTGGCCTCGGCGGGGGGGGGATGGCACGCTGCAGGGGGCAGCAGGTTGGAGTCGAACCTTGGCCGCTGCAGCAACTCCGTATATGGGTCGCCAGCTCTACTGACTGAGCTAACGGGGCGCCCTCTGGCATTGTACTTCTGACAACTACGAGTATTGTCAGAGTAAAATGTGTTAACATCTGTTTTTTTTTATAAACAATAGATACAGCTTTAAATAAGTTCTGTAAATAGTTTTCTTCTATTGTGATCAAAAACATTGCTCTGCAGTTCAATTCTGAGTCCCACCCATTCCAATAAAGATCATAGACTGTATAATCAAAGATGGACATAGTCTCTGGACGTCACCCCAGGTTTCTGAAGAGACATTCTGATGCCCAGTGTGGTGACTTTGGTTGTTGCAGTCTTGGTAGCCCTGGGCATATAGTCAGGGAGGAGGAGCTGAGGTGGGCTGAGTGAAGCCTGGTTACTGAAAAGACAGGACTGGGTTGTGCTTCTACAGAATAAAACCTCTGTAAATCTTTCTGCCTTGTTGCTGTCTGGAGGGAGTTGCACTGCACCGAGGCACCCGAACTACCTGAATGGTGCTGTATATGGATGGCAAGTGCCCAAAACATGCAGTTTGTTCACATATCTTTGTTTTTCTTCTTTTGAGTGGTGATATAAATACACATGGCTTGAAATTATTGGATAATTCACATGCCTCTTTTGCGGTTCTACTGAGTTTCCAGTGTTAGTCGCTATACTGGCACGTTGTTTTGCCCTCCAGGACAATTCACTGACTTTACTGAACTGTAAAAAAGGATTTGAGGTTTTAGTTACCTCAGCTCATTTTCCTAAGTCAGTTCAACTAAAATGTTGGGAGTACTTGAGATATCAAGTTTAGCTGTGTCCAACTAATCATTTCAATTAGAGTAGTTCAGGCTACATGCAATTCTTAGTTGACTCAACTAACTCAAATGTGTGGCTCCTGCAAAAATGCATAGGCATCCCCAGACAGCCGAGCAGGGCTGTCCATCTCCTCCAGAGCAATGCGCCACAAGAAGGTAAGAACTTTTATCCTGATTATATTTATCAAAATTATTGTTAAATTAAGTATATCTAACTAAATGTTACGAGGCATTGTCAAAGTAAACCTTGAAACAGCAAGTTTAGAAACTTAAAAAGCCAAACATTGTTTATGGCCAATTTTAGAACTTAAACTCATGTAATTAGCCAAACTATGGATTTATATTTTTGCCCCATTACTGAGTTTGTCATTTTGAGAACAGGAAATAGTTTTTTGTAAGTAAAAAAAGCATAACAAAACAATCTAACAATCTGGTATGTTCATATTCACATGTTTATATTGGATGAGTCTGTTGAATTCTAAGCTGAGGGAAGCGTCCAGTAGCAGTGCTAAATAGAATGATAATGGTGTACTCGCTCATCTCTAACATCTACATTGTCTTACACAGTCTTAAAGGTCCAGTGTAACATTAAGGAGGATCTATTTGGCAGACATGGAATATAATATTCATAACTATGTTTTCATTAACGTATAATCACCTGAATACAGAAATTGCTATGCTTTTTGATACTTTAGAATGAGCAGTTTCTGCAGACGCTGCGGGTCACCTTCAGTGGAGTCCGCCATGTTGAACCGCAATGTTTCTACAGTAGCCCAGAAAGGACAAACCAAATACTTGCTCATGATAGGGGCGTTCACATTTTTTGTATGTTTTGCAGCCAGTGTAGTTTCTCCTTGACGCTTTGAAGGGAAGGGTGACTCGAGCGAGTTGCAATCTGCAACTACGCTGCTAGATGCCACTAAATCCTAAACACTGGACCTGTAGAGTAGGCTAGGGGAAATGCTTGTGCTCAAGTATATTTATTTTCCAATTGTTTTGGTTTACAGTAAATCAAAATGTAATTCACTGCAGAGCACTACAGTATATTTGCTGTTGGCAGAGGCAAAGACTTCACCTCCCACAATGCCTTGCCTATCCACTGACGTAACGTCCGTTGTGGGCTGTTGGCGGGCAGAACTGGATCGACGTTGTTTAGCGACGCGGAGGCTATTGTGTTATTCAGCAGCAAAGCCCATTGAAGGTAAAGTCGAGCCAAAGCAGGGTAGTTTAGTGTCACCAGTGGCGGGTCTTCGGTTAGTTACTCGTCTACAACGGACGGCCAAATCACAGTGTTCTCACTCGGGCCTGCCATAAGCCCATAAAAGCGCTCCGAAGCTTTCTCTGTAAAGGTAAGGCTCCTGTTAGCTAGCTGTTGAGGGAAAACACCAGCCATGTTGCCCTCTGGTTGTAGGGGGTGGGCCGCCTGGCTCCTCTCATTGCTCAGGTTCGGGGAATTGTAACACATTGTGGCCAAATGAAGTCAAACGAAATGGACTTATTCTGGCATTCGTTGACTACTGGTGCAGCGGGTGCAGGCATGATGTAGACACGGTGGGCAGCTCGCTGGCTCCGGCGCTTCTCATGATACAGTGGGGCAGCACAGCTTTGTTTCTGCGGTTACTCGGGAGGCTTGGAGGAGGGCGTTTTTCTTCCTCGGTGCCAAACCGCCAAATATCAGATAATGAAACAACACACATTTAGCCGCCAGAATAGAGTTTCAGATACTCTTATGTTGTGTGCTTGTTGCAAGTCAGTGCAATAGTGTTCAGGGGTTAACTTGTTGCAGTTCCACCATGTGTCTGTCAGTTCAGTGATGAAGGCGATGTTTGACTCAATATGCATATTCAAAGGTTGTTAGCTCCACACGTGTGGCAGCCACAGTGTCCTTTGGGAGTCGTTGCCGTGTAGCACTTCAGTAGTAGTTGTAGTAAACAGTCGCCTCATTCATGTGCACACATAACTGGATTACTCTGAATACCCAGATTAATATAATGGTTTAATTAAGGTGTTTGCATGGGTTTGCAGGTGAGTCAGGAGCTGGAGTTCTAGTGAAATGGGAAATGAAATATTTAACATGTTATTGGAATATGAACACATTTAGCAAAAGTAAGCCAGCATTACATTTTGTCAAGTCCAAAAGAGATGGAGTTAAAAAATATTGAATGTTGACTTTTAGGTAAGATAGGATTTATTTTTTCCTTCTTTCTGGCAGTGATATTTGGATAATGCAAACGCACACTTGTCATGTGAATAAAGTGACTTTAAATGACCATAACAAGGGTTTTGGTTGTGTAGGGTTTAGCCCATTAACTAGAGCTTAAGTCAATTTTTATTTGAACTTAACTTGTAAAACGATGTAAAAAAAAAAGTCTGAATAGAAAAAAAAAGAAGTCAAACTAGGGCTGTTATAACGGGGGATATACAGCTACTAAGCTGCTAAAACAAGCCTCAACCCCCTAAAGTCAGCCATATACACAGAGTGTAGAACCATTTCCCCATAATATCCCATATGAGAAGAAGGGGCCCTAGAAGGGGCCCTTGTGATAAGATATTACAGATGTGTTGAGGAAATAGTGCCTTTGTTGGGGACTAATTTCAGTGGCGGATTAATCAGTGTTCGGTGCTCTAGTGATTGCTTGGAACAGCAGGACAGTGTATGGCGATTGAGTTAAACTAAACTACAACGAGCATGTTCATTGTAATGTTCCTACATTACCTGTAACAGCAGGATAGGGGGCGCTGAATGCTGCACAAGCTTTTAGACAGCAGAGCTGTAGCTATAGTTGTGACCAATCTGATCCAATATCGATGTATAAAGTTAAGTTACTTGCAAATTATCTCTCTACAAACTCACTCCTCTTCCTCACAGACCGTGAACATGCTACAGTGTAACAACAGTCTGTGACTGAGTGAATTAGTAACAGTCTGGAGTTTGAAGATGTTTTAGTCTGTAAACACAGAGAGGCAAGACAGCAACAATGTGTGTAAAGCCAGCACTCTGAGAGGTGAAAGTTGTGCTGCATCAGTGTTATATGGATGGAACTAACTCAGGATGATGGAAGTACTGAAGCATTTTTTTTTTTTTTTGTTAGTTTTTTATGGGAGCTTTCATTTTATTCTGTTGGTACAATCTGATTGTTAATTCCCAAACGTTGCTGTAGTGGTTGCTAGCGGAAGCTAGCCTGGCCATGATGTCAGGACTTAAGCTCTTAGTTAGGTTACCTGCCAAAATGGCGGCTGGAGTGTAACACTCAGCAGACCCACTCCAGATGCAGTTAAAGCCTCTCACAGTGGTTGCACAGAGCCAGTCCTTTGAACGGTGCAGCTCTTTATCTGGTGACCCCTCCTCCTTTCTTTCCCTGCATACTCAGGTTTCAGCTTCTTTTCTCTCTTGCCGGGCCTAACATGGTTTCCCCCTGGCTTTTGGATTGGACAAGGAGTGTGCAAGTCCAAGAGGAGTTTCTCAGATCATAATAGTTTTGAATACAGTGACGTTTTGCATTTTGGAGTTTTACTATTATGAGACAATTATTACCTAATTAGCTAATCAGATGTGGCTGACCCACATACAGTTTTATTATGAAATTCAGTCAGTTGCTTTACTCATTGACACGCGGCAGGCCACCGACTCAGTTTGTTGAAGCCTGCTGTCCTCACTGGATAATATATCCCACCCACTGACAGGAGCCATGATAACCAGATAACCAGTGTTATTCACTTCACCTATCGGTGCTCATGATGTTATGGCTTATCGATGTATGACTAGTTTAATCCAAGACCGCTACATGTTGCTGTATCTTGTAGCTCCAGAATTGCTAGCTGCTGCTCAGATCAGTCGTTTATGGCTTTTGAAAATTTTTCAGTTCAGTTTTAATGCAAGAGATACTTCAGACTATTGGTCACCTTATCAGCCCTTGTATTCCCTCCATTCAAAAATAACTATTAAAACATGGTATAGAATAATTTACCTATCGATCTATTAGTTATTTGAACTCTTATCATTGTTTCTACATATTTCCTCTTGGGGCGACTAGAAGTGCCCTCAGCAGACGTCAAGCTGGCGACCGTAGCAGGAAAGAAGGGCAAGAAGGCTGAAGAGGAGGAGCAGCCTGTAGCACCTGCAGAATCACCAGCACCAGAAGCAGCAGCAGCAGCAGCAGCAGCCGCAGCCGCAGCCGCAGCCGCCACCACCACAGCCGCAGCAGCACCACCACCACCGGCAGCGGCAGCGGCAGAGGAGGAGGAAGAGGAGGAGTATGTTGTGGAGAAGGTTTTGGACCGCAGAGTGGTTAAGGGAAAAGTGGAGTTCCTGCTGAAATGGAAGGGTTTCTCAGAGTGAGTATAACCCTCTTCACTGAGATAATGCTTGGTGTTCTTTGCCGAAAGGCAAATGTTTTTCTTCTTAATTTGGGGATTCTTTTTAGTGTTTACAGAGTTTTTAGTTTGAAAAAGGCATGTGCAGCATAAAGAAACAGCATTGAAGTTTGTTCTCAAAATTGAAAGTTCAGAATTTTGCCATTAACCTACAGCCCTACAAATAAAATAAAATACTATACTGTGTGCTGTCTGCACCCACCTTTCCAGTGAGGATAACACATGGGAGCCGGAAGAGAACCTGGACTGTCCAGACCTTATCGCTGAGTACATGCAGAAACACAAAGAGAAGGAGGAGAAAAAGAAGGAGGGCAAGAGGAAAGTCACCAGTGAGGCCTCGGGAGACTCAGAGGATCGAGGGAGCAAGAGGAAGAAGGAAGAGGTGAGCAAAGGAGAGAGGCTGCTTCAGGCCAAATAATCCCAGCAGCCTACTAGACCACAAAAGAATTGATAGTTTTTTTTAACTAAGCAGATATGTCTACATACAGGTGCTTTAATGTTCATTACAGCATTATCTCCCACCTGTCTATTCTTTGGTTAATGTTCTCTTGCTCTGTCTGCAGGGCGAGAAGGCAAGAGGTTTCGGTAGAGGTCTGCAGCCGGAGAGGATTATTGGAGCGACGGACTCCAGTGGAGAGCTGATGTTCCTCATGAAGTGGTGGGTCTTCTTCACTATCAATCTGAAAGGTCCAGTGAGATGGCTTTGAGTTAGAATTAGTCTTCCTTTCGGAGGATTCAACAGTTGATTGAACAGACAATACAAAATGGAATATAATTTGTAGCCCGGTTGAAGGAAATAAGAAGACCGGTGAAGATCTCCTGCTCAGAGCCTATTTTCATGCAGTCATTGAGAAACAAGTACAGCCCCATCCATATGGGGCTTACAATAGGGTTCAATGTGGAATCACAGAAAGCACTTCTTATTCTACATATAGCACAGATTTACCAGAAGCTGCAGCAATGACCTTGAAACCAGCTTTTATTTATTTAACTTAATCAGTGTTTTATACAACATTACTGTCAAACAAAATGGAGCCTAAAGAGCACATTTTGGACTGATTAATAGTTCAGTCCATCAGTGCTGCAATCTTACTTTTTTCCAGTGTCACAGTAGAGTTACGTTAACCACAATGTCCATGCCAGGCCAGTGTTGGAACAAAAAAATAATTTTGGTTTGGTTTTGCTGAGCGAACCTAAGGACGCTTCAGGCGAAACAATAAATGTCAGTAAAGTCATTCCAGTGTACGGTGGTTAATCCTAATTTTAACTACATGGTCCTGCAACCTGCCAGCAGCTGACTTTTGTTGTTGTTTACGAGTAAATGTGTAAATTCAATGATATGTTTATTACTGAGGTCATAGAGTAACTAAACCACAAAACCAATTTAATACGGGTATTTAGTTGTGTTGCTGATTGAGCTGTTGTGGAGCAGCAAGCCTCTCCTTAGTCTGTGTTACAATCAGCGGAGACTGTAAAGGCCACTACTGTCAAAGGCGGAGGTCAGTTGCATCGTCAGGTTCCAGGTTGTCAGAGAGCAACTTGTTATCCTTGTTATTGACTTAGCTAAAACGGTTTTGTAGGAGGAAATAAATGAAGCCCCCATTCTCTAACACACTTCTCTCTATTTTGCTCTCCCTCTTGTGTACTCCTTTTCCTTTCCCCCTCTCTCTGCTCCTCTTTCTTTCACCTGTCTGTCTCTGCCATATCCCTTTCTACCTTTTCTCTTGAATTAAATGAACAGGAAGAACTCAGACGAGGCAGACCTCGTCCCAGCCAAGGAGGCCAACGTCAAATGTCCCCAGGTGGTCATCTCTTTCTACGAGGAGCGCCTCACCTGGCACTCTTACCCCACAGAGGAGGAAGAGAAGAAAGAGGAAGAGAAAAAAGACTAGATGAGTGGAGGCGGAGGTGCAAAGAGGAAAAGAAAGGAAGTGCGGAAGTGCAGGGCGGGAAATCAACTATGTGCTGGTGAACTGTTGTCCAGGTAATTGATTCTAGCAGCCACTTTGGCAGCGGAGAAAAGTGGAGAAAATCCCAGATCATTAGGATTGAACTGCCAATGTGGCTGACAGAGGACAGAAGAAGGTTGTTTTCCTGCCCTGAAAGGAGACTGGTGTCCTTTCCTCAAAAGATGCTCCCACCTGTATCTCGACTGAAAATATATTCTTTTTTTTAATTCTTTTTTTTTTTAAGAGGTATGTTGACACTTAGTCTCTCTTACTTTACGTTTTTCCCTCACCAAGAACATGTCACTTGATGGGAATTGGTGCCTTTGTTCTGCTAGTATTCCTCCTTGGCGCCACAAGCCGAATATTGAACTGAATACAGTGAAATGACTATAAAAGTATTTGTCTCCTACATTTGGTGACAGGTGCCTGGTGTTGGAAATACAGGAATACACCGCAAGCTGTCAAGCTTATCTCTTAAACATGTGCATTCATGTGAGAAGCAAGCTGAATGTTTGACTGTGGCTGGCAAGTTTGTCTCTCCTCCAATCACAGGTTTATAAGTCCTGTTTTTAAAAAAAACAAAAACGTTTCGGTTGAAAAGATGGTGAAAGTGGCCGATGAATTGTGGTGGCTAAGAGAGCACAAACTTTTCTTCTTGCTTTGTCAGGATACATTGGGGGGAACTTCTTTTGGAACGGAATGAAGTGAGGAGAGGTATTATAGAGGAGTGAAAGAATGGACAGAAAACATTTGTCTCTCCCAGTATCTGTGCCACTCTCTGAGTTCTCATTATTGCTGTATGTAACGCTGTTCTCAGTTGAAACTTCAAATGCCAAATGACGACTGTACATTTCACTCTGACGTGGGCAGATTGACAAAGAGCAGTTGCAGTCTACTAGGGGTGTAACGTTACATGACATTCACAGTTCGGTATGCACCTCGGTTTTCGGTAGAGCAGCGAAAACATTTTTGTTATTTATTGTGAAAAATGATAACAGTAGCTCATTAGTTCTGTTCAATTCTTACTGTAACAGTAACCGCACTCAAGTACTGGCATATTGTCAATAAGAAAAAAAATAACTCAAATGTCAGTAATGCTCCATTATTAGACTCTGACCTGTTGATCATTGTTGAACAGCTTACAGAGCAGCACAACAGACTGATTAAAATTCACATGAGAAGTCACATTGTAGCTGGGCTCAAGCACCATATGCTTAAATCCTGTATTTTCCATCCAAGTACGGTCGCATATCCACCTCAATAAACACATAGTAGTTACAGTTGTTACTTTGGCACTGTCTGTATCTGCAGTGAGAGGCTGTCGGTCTGTTTTTATGTCTCGTTCTGCATATCGCCACATTCGATGGTGGGGGGGCGGTCGTAAATGGCACGTTTTTAAGTGTTTCCACAGATGTATCCAACATCAGTTGAATATCGTCGGCATACAATTTGCCCGCTAATCGCTGCCTGTTTAGCTTAAACTACCCGGCTAAGCAGACTAGCATGCTACAGCTGGTGGACAACTGGTGCACTGCCAAAACTTTCCAGGTAAAACTCAGGCTCTAGAACTTCTGTTCCACGAGTGCGAGTAGGCAACATAAATAGGCTGTTTTGACAGTAAGTATTTGGATCACGGGTGTACTGAACCGAGGCACTCCCATACCGAACTGAACATCCTGCGCCAAACGGTACGGGATGCATGTATCGTTACACTCCGACATTCTGCATGAGAAGACCACCAGTCGTTGCCTTGGCTTTACATGTCCTACCAGCCAATGTGGCAGCCAGCCAGCCAGCACTTGAGTGTCCTGCAGTTGTCTGCTGAAACAGTTTTTTAAAAAGTCATTCCAGCCACGGATTATGGTTTGCCCAAAGCTACTCTGCTTTCTGTTTCAGTTTTTAATGAAAACTAATGAACTCGTCTGTATTTTATCAAACCTTCAGTTAATGTGTCTGTGCTCTTTTTGTGGAGGTCCACAGGTAAACCTGTAGTTTTGCTTTCAATGTAAAATGTCCATCTGCCTTATTTCATGTGACTCAATCATATGCTTTCTAGTTATTAAGGTATATATTAGGGCATAGCACTCTCCTAATGTGTTTGAGGTATTTACTTATTTTAAACCATCAATTACAGGAATGAGTAAGTACTATCAATTCACCAGCTGTTTTCGCTGCTTGACTTGGCCATTCCTACTGAACTTATTTGTTTAGTGTGAATCCAAACAATCGCCTTCAAGCAAGGCTAGAAGACAAATGACTACTTACAGAAGTAGTGAACCATGTTTAAGTGTACTGATTTGAGTTCATTCACTGGCAGATGAGGCTGCTTTGATTCAAACTTTTCGTGCCAATTTTGTGGAGTTACTTTATGCTGGACGAGAGGCTGGTTGGTTACCTGCCAAAGTGGCTGGAGTGTACACACAGCGGCAAAAACATCTGGCAGGTTGTACATTTCCACACTGCTAGAGTGACGGGCACACTGGATAACTTTAGGTGAAGAGTTACATGATTGTCATATAGCAGTTGGTGTTGTACTGGTTGAGACTCAGCATCAGGAGTGGCAGTCAGAGGACTCTGCCTGAGGACGCTGATGTGCCCTTTAATAGAGCTGTGTATTGGCTAGAATCTGGTGGGCACAATACAGGGGTTACTACTCAATATATTGCGATACTGTAAGTATAAAAAGTTTTTTATGTAATTTTAGGAAGACTGTCAGTGTAAAGAACAAATCACCATACACATGAAATCTAAAATTTTTTTTTTTATTCTAGTAGAATTTGTATTTATCCCAATCCCTGTAATATCCAACATCAAACTGAGAGGTTTACGTTTATAACGCTCGATTTGAGAATCAATACAATATCACAGAACAAAATATTGAGATTCCTGACACCCCTACCCTCCAGCCTGTAGATTAGTGGGGCAAAGTGTTAGGAACCAAGTGATGATCATTCAGACTGAAACACATACAATTAGAACGAACACAATTCTCAGCTGAGAAACTGCAGGTTTTTACTTCAGCCAAACGTAGGTTGAAGGTGTGTTAGGCACTGAGCTCAGCTGTAGTATACTATACTATACTATACTATAGTTTCTTTTCCCTGATGCTAACCTACCAGAGCACAGCTGTCGAACTAAAGTGAATGTTTTTTAATGCTTCTGAACGCTCTGATGCAGGGTCTTATAAAATCAAGCAGGCTCCTTGTTTATTATCCTTATTGACAGTTAATTGCAAGAGTAGGTAAACAAGCATGCATAATATATTGAGCTGCTGCAACAGGCTTGTCTAATTTGGGTAAATGTGCTACTGGAGTAACACCTGCAGCAAGCCTTTCTGACTGATGATCATCAAACATGTTTCCCTGGGAAATAAAGGCACCCCCTCTAACTCGTTGCCCTCAGTGTGAAGTTAACAGTCACAAAGTGATTCATGTGGACCATCAGTTTGGGAACTGACCAGCCAGTCAGTGAATTGTCGGCTGTACTTTGTACGTTGCCACGTTGGCTCGGAACCAGCCAACAAGCTGCTTTGGCTGATGGTGAGAGAGCCACTTTGGCTGGTAGGTGGAGGTTTCCTGATGAGACTGCGGCTCTGTCAGCAGTAGATACATGCTCCATAACAGCCTCAGCTGGGTTTTATTCCTAATGGAGGAGGTGATTTAAACATATGTTTAAAATGATTTCCTCTCCCTTGTTTTAACCTTCACACACACTCAGCCACATGTGTGTTTTTCTAGATTGTATTATTTTAGCTTGCACAGGCCGGGCAACACTCAAGACATGATGATTGAGCACATTAGAAGTATTTCTGGGTTCCTCTTGCTTGCAGACCATCCTTTGTTCATAAAGTTTTGATATTTGCATAAATAAAACTGCAAAGAACTTTTGAATTCTATATGAATAGCATACAAGAAGTCTTTCTCTGGTGTTTTCTCTGCTGCCTAATGTCTCCCTGTGTTTAATGTGTTGAATGTCGCCCGGCTGTGCTTATTTCTATGTGTACTGTATTAAAGCTAGTGTAGTAGCTTCCTCTGTTAGCAGACCCGGGTTAGCTCTAGTTCAAATCCCCTTCTCTGAACTTAGCCTTGGCTCGCCTTTTTCTGCTGGAGATTATCAGTGAACTGACCTTGAAGAGAAAATTCCATTGTGTTTTCCTTATTATAATGAACCTCCATTCATGTCCAGTGGATATTGTTTTTGTGCTTCACCTCGTACTGCCTCATGTCACAACACTTGAAACAGCAGCTATTTTTAGATATTTATGTTTTCTTACAGAATGATCATTTGAATGAGCCCTTAGTGTGAGTGACATGTTATGGAAGATGCACAAACTCAAAGCAGCATAAAAACAGTCACATTCTTTAAATTAGCAACCACAGGATATGTAAACATATCAAAATTCCTGCCCAAGTACTTCCTACCAAAAGGCCAGAAGAATAAACAGAAAGTAACACGGTCTTCTTAAGAGGCTGAATTACAGGTCAAATAGTTTGTAGCACTTGAAGTTGAACCTTTCTGACTTTAACATTGCTGTGCTAATGCTGTTACTACTGTATGTCTGCATCTGTAAGCTAGGTCTAAGTCTACCCTTTCTACTGATTGGTTTCCACACAAATGTATTATTCAGTGAAATTGCTGAAATGACCTTGTAGAACTTCCGGCCTTTGGGGGCGCTCATATCTTCACCATGCACATCAGTATTACCAGAGTTAAATGTGCTGCACACTGACTGCCTTCTGTTATACCTCACCATTGACAGGAGGGGATTGAATTAGCCGCACCTGGTTCTGCTAGTTAGCTTTTCTATCTTGTCTCTGAAACCTTTATCTGTATTTAGCGGATTAGCTTGTGTTGTCCTGTTGCATGTTTATTGGTTTCCCTTGCAATGTCACTGTCATGGCTGATCTACTTTTTAATTGTCTGTTTTGGACAATAAAGGTTTTTCGTTTATGTAACTGTTTGTACTTTGGTGTCTCTTTTTAGTCCTTTTACATTTTAATGGCCCACAACAATAAATGTGTAACTACCACAGGTATGTGAGTGTTTGGGAAGCTGTTTGAGGGCTAAACGTTAGCCTTTTTGTGCTGTCAGTGAAACCAGGGCTTGAGAAACTGTCAACTGTCAACTTGTCACAGATTGATCTGTTTTTCTCATTCTACATTATGATTGCAGTTTAATAACTTTGTTTCAGTAACTTGCATCACTGGACTCACTCTGATCAGGAAGGAAGGAAGGAAGGAAGGAAGGAAGGAAGGAAGGAAGGAAGGGAGGAAGGAGGAGGGGGGGGGGGGGGGGGGGGGGGGGGGAGAAGATCGAACTAAACTGAACTATTGACATATAAACTATAGGATCACCCTAATCCGGAGAGAGAGGAGGTCAAATGAGCTTCATACACTACACCTGCTGACTGCGCACGGCACAAGAGGAGAGGGAGAGACCCTGGTGCTGTTGGTAGAAGAGCCATAGAAGACGATTACTCTGAGCAGCATGCATAGGAATTAATGGCAACATAATATATTGCAATATATTTCTCTTCTTTTTCCTCATGGTCTGAATAAGTCGCTAAATTTGCCGCTAGTAGAATTAAAGTTAAATTAAAGATGATCTGAAAAAGTACCATATCTAGAGACAAAGATGTTGGCGTGTGTGTGTGTGAGTGAGAGAGATGGAGTGTAAAGCTTGTGTCGGTGCCACCTCACATTTTTTGAATTTGAACACTTAACAATTAAAATGATGTCTATTCTATTTTACATAAACTTTATAACTTCATTTGTAATTTTTCTGCTGTCCAATAATTGTCCCAGACACTGAACTTTTTTGTCCCATGTGTCATTTTTGTTGTCCCCGAGACAACAGGACTTCTTAAAAAATCCACTAATCTGAATGTTAGGCCCTAAAAAGTCTGTCTTAAATGTTTTTTTCTTAAAAAAATAATTGGATTAATGAAGTCAAAGTTACTTGTATAAAGTTTCATCTTCAGTCTCCCTTTAAATGTGTTTTTGGGAAGCAGTTGTATTGATCACTGTACCAACTACAAAATAAAACTTTCATGGAGCCAATACTGATTTTCCTTCAGATCCTTTGTACTGTTTTTATGGAAATGAAATAGGTCTTAAACTGCATTCATAATGGTCTCAAGGTCTTAAAAAGACTGACATTTACCCTGTTGAATCCTGCAAAAACCCTTTCATTATTACGTGAATGAATTACATTTTTAGTATTGTCATATAACTATGCCCAGCCCTCATGGGCTTACAATACACAATAATTATCTTGCCTATGGTTCCAGCACTTTGAGGCAAAGTTGGCAAACTTAAACACGCCAAATAATGAACAGCCGTTTAATTTCCGCTCAGCTATACCACTGCTTACTTCATGGTTTTATTGAGACATTTCATGGAACATTGACTGTCTTAAATCACAATTTGTACAATACAAAAGACAATGAGAATGTATCTAATGTAATTTCCATTGGAATTTAATTATTTCTTGAACTCTTTGTGGGTTGTTGCTTTGTAATCTTTTTTTTAAAGCCGTATACTCTCAAATTGAGTTTGCCTGTATTTTTCCCTAAGGTGCCTTCTGGTCAATTGGTCCCTGAATTCCATTTCCTTCCTCTTTCATCAAGTGCATTTTGTTTGTCTTGATTCAACAGTAAAATGTCACATGCAATAACGTCATGAGCTGGGAACTATCCCACACACTTCCTGTGTACTCTGACCTCCAGGTAACTGAATGATGGCACAGGGGCATTTTGTTCTCTGAGGTTACACAGGACCCAAAGATCTAGAGAGCACTCGTGAAAGTATTTTTTACAGTTTTTTTACATCCTAGGTAGTAATTCACACTTGAGAAAACCCACTCTGACCTCTACCATTGTCACTGGTCCAGTTCATGTGTTAGCTGGTATGTACCAGTAAGTACCACAACCACAACTGGGATGCAGCTTACATCGTCATTTTTACTGTAAAGGACTGCTAATACAGAATTAAAATGAACAACTCTGATAGTCTTTATCTGCTATTGTGACGGGACAGAGAAGGGACTGCATGACTCCAAAGAAATACAATTTATTTTGTTTTTAATATTACACAAGACAAGGTCCCAAGTCCTTGAATACCAGCAAGCACATTGGGCAGTCACAAAATGTAAACACTTAACAACTAATAAAATCTTGTTCCATTAGTGGTAGTGATGAGCATGCAGGGTGTTACATTGTAAGAAGCTCAGAATTGGTCTTCATAAATTTGAAAGACAGGATTTTGGCAGAGACCATTTCATTCCACTGCGTTTCTTTGCCATACAGATATCTGAGAGGGACACATACACATATAGTAATTTGATTCTACAATGAGGTACCATGTGAAACACTGGTAATTCTTGCCTAAAAACAATCTAACAATACTACTAGTTACATGACTATTAATAATAATACTTTCTACGGTCTAGATTACGCTAAATTTAGTTCAGATTGTAAATTCTTAGCATCAACAGGTCAAACTGCTGCCATGTTTAATTCATTGTAGTAATGTTTTCATCAGAATCTCTGGAGTCCTGCCTTATTCAGCTATGGGCACAACCACTAGAGGGTGACATGCTAACTTGAAACAATTCATAAATCAGTGTTGGAATCTAGAGATTCCCACTATCTTGTGTGAAATAGACAATATGATTTCAACAGCTTCACAGATGAATGTTAAAAATACATGAGAACACAAAAGTTAAAGGCACAGGTAAAACCCACTGCAGTTATGCTTTTAGTTTACAAGAAAAAAAAACAATACAGGCACCACTTATGGGTAAAAGGAGTCATTCCTCAGTCATATTTTAACAGACTGTTGTCAGTTTGTTGCAGTCTGGTCAGTCCACCATTCATGAATCCACAAAGCCTTAAAAGAAAATGGTACAGGGCCCTTGCAATCTGACATACCATTTTTCTGCCGTGAATGGCCATGTGTGAAAGTTCAAAGTGCTCTATCCATCAAATCTTCATATTCCTATTTCCATTACTTTTCTGTGTTTGCCACTGAATGACATGGAAGGACACAATGCGTGATGACACATCATCCCACCTTGTTCTCAAAGACCATCTACCCACCTTAAAGCATAAGGCTGGTATTATTTGATCTTTTTGTTCTTACTATTATCAACAAATCCTCTGAGACCAAAAGCAACAATGAATATATCCTACTAAAAAGTGTTGCCACATTCTAATATAGCTTATATAGACAAAAAAAATTGAGCTTTTTGTGTATTATCTAAGTCCTCATGTGGTAGAAGTGGAAATCTTCAAAACAATGGTCAATTTCCAGGAAAACTGACTTGAAGTCAGTTTTAACTTATGTATGCTATTCCAAGATGCCCTCTCTAGTTAGAATTTGAAAGGGTTTTGCTGGAGATGGTATCTAATGTCTTTGAATAACGTTGTACAGTTTGGCAGTGGGTTGGCTTGTGGTTACTGCACCGTCTGGGATCTGAACATACCCAGGTTTGATCCGCATGAACTCAAGTCTTCAGCTTGCTAAAGCATATTTGAGTGAGATTCTGCACTTCTACAAGCTCAAGGGGAATGACCACAACTTCCCTTCCTGTGTACCAACAACCCTTCCTTGGTGACTCAGTCATTGTAGCATCCACAGTTGTTTGGCTATAGTAGCTGACAGCCAGGATCCAGCCTGCTTTCACTCTGTTGGCTTATTCAAGTCATGTTTTCAAGTCTCTGAGGGAGCTTATACTAGAGAAAGCAGGACTGTGCATAGGCACTAGCATTTCCCATGTCATCTGGCCTACCATCTGTTTTAATTCCACTATGTAGTAGCCTAGATATATCTCAAAGGGGTTTGAACATAACTAGAGTTGAAGTCAAGTTCGTTTCCAGTGTAGAAAATGTTTGAAGCATGGAGAACAACACAGCACCTTTTAGCACCTGCCATTGACACTAGATAAAGAATTCTTCATTCACCAGTGCATCCGTATTTCCTGCCTTTTTTTTGTGGTTTTGATCACATTCCTGTTAAGGAATCGCTTTACTCTCTCTACATTCTCTAATGGCTTGTTCACCTCCTCACTTCTTCTTGTCCCTCTGTTTCTTGCTGGTTTTTGTTAGTGGCATCGCTGCCCCTTGTTGGCGTGAAGCTACTGTGACACTACCATTGGGCTCAAAATTAAGCAGGTACTCCATAGCATCCAGTGACCTCCCCTCCTCATCCCTCAGAGTGGAAAAGACTTCCTGGTACAACATGCCCAGTTGGCGCTTCATTTCCTGCAGATTCCTCAGGGCTTCCTGTTTCTCTCGGAGCAGCCGTGAGCGGTAGCGCCTCAAACCTGACACATCATCCTTCAGTCCCAGCAGCACATCCATTTTCCTCTGCCTGCAGTTCTGGGCAGCTATCTTGTTCTTACCACGGCGGCGTATGTCCCTGATGAGGGTAAGCTGATCCTCATTGAGTTGGCCATTGGCCAATAGGTCATTAAACTCCTCCACTGGCAGATTAACAATGAGCTCATTGGAGAAAGGGACTTTCAAGGCCCGTGCACGCCGTTCATCCCGGCTCCACATTTTGGTCTCAGAGATGTGTCTGGAGCTGCGGTAAGGCCTGGCACTGTCATGTCGCAGGGAGGATTTGGTGTGTTTGGTGGACATCTTGCCCAGGGATGGAGAGGAGGCAGATGGCCAGGGTTGGTTGTACGTGTGATCGTGGCCGATATGCTCCAGCCAAGGGAAGCCATTAAACAGCTTGTCATTTTCATAGTTGGGAGGGAATTGTTTCTTAACATCTTCAGGGTACCCTCCTCCTACTGCCCCCATCTCCTCCTCTTCCAGCTCCTCCTGCTTTATGGTCACCTCCAATTCCATATCCACACCAACTAACCCATCCTCAGCATCTTTGTCCTCATCTTCAGAGAAGGGACTTCCCTCATCCGACACACAAGATGAAGAGGATGAGGAAGAGGAATAAGAGGATGCCTCGGAAGCACTTGGAGAAGCAGGGCTGTGGCTGAAGTCCAGAGAAAGACCAGAGTCTGATTCTGCCTCATTCTCGCTGTCTAGAAGGAGGGAACATGGAGAGGTTAAGGTAGGGTCTACAGTTATGTAGTAATATTTAAATTGAGCATTAGGGTTCTCTTAAAAGAAAGGTAAATTGTTGAACATTATGTCAAAAATAGTCACTTTAAAAAGGTATATTGCCTCCCTGTTAAATTACCTTGCTGATGTCCTCTAGGTTGAACATGATCTTCAGTGACTGACGTGCTAGAGCCTAAGTGATCATCATCTTTGCCAGTTTCCTGTTGGGCTATTCCGCGGCCAAGATAGCCCTCTTCTTCCAGCCTGGCTGCAATCTCAGGAGTGAATCCTTCCTCCAGAGCTAGGTCCAACAACCTAAACTCATCCAAGATGGCAGCATCCTCTAAGAGGTCACTAAGTGAGCTAGGGAGACTGTTTTCATTCTCAACATCCTCTTCGTCACTCAGAAAGACACTGGAGGGAGACGTCAGAAGGTCTTGGATCATACCATTCCCCTCTGGAGATAGGGTGAAACTGGATGCTGTCATGTTGCATGAATGAAAGTTAACATCCCAGGTAGGAAGGTTTTCAGGGTAGGGAGCATACTGTGAACATGGACTGCTTTCAATGGTATCCACAAGATCTTGTGTTAGCAGATTTATGTTGAAGGTACTCGAGTTATCTTCTGCACTTAGTCCCAGGAAGCCTTCTGAAGGATCTTCTGCAAGCAGATCTGTGTTATCTGGAGGACTGTGCCAGGAATACACATTAGAGTTTGTCGAAGTGTCCATTGTGTTAAAGGCTAAACTGTGGTCATCCAAATCTGCACTGGGGGTGAGTGGAAACAGGACTGGCTCTGACTGGCTTGGAGGCCCAAACGACCCTAGAAGGAAAGAGAGGATATTTTTTGCAAAATGTTAAGAATTATGGGATATGCTACAGCTTCTTTGTTACAATCATTCATTCCTTGTTGTGGTCCAATGACTGGGGGAGCAAACAGGACAGTGTCTAGGCAAAGGACACTTTGACATGTAAACACGAGGAGGTGGGGATCAAGCCGCCAACTCTGCAATCAGTGGACGACCTTCTCTACCACCTGAGCCACAGCCACCCCCACATGAATATACAACATTTGGGAAAATTTTTGAAAAAGAGGAGCTTTTCAAGATAAATTCCCAACAAAAGGTCCAACTTACTTCTTTCCAAAGCTTTCAACCACATTGTGTGGTTGCTCAGCAGATGGAGGTGCTCAGTTGTCATGATCATGTTAGCCTATGGAATTTCTAAATCATCGCCATAGCAAATGAGCAACTCAGTCCACTAAAGGGCCACTAAATGTGGTTGAAAGCTTTGAAAACAAGGGCAAGTTATTGAAGCTTAAGAATACTGTCCATGAATTATAACAACAAATGTCATCTTATAAATTGAATTACCTTGCTGCTGGGGAGTCTCCATGAGGACCTCCTGATCAGCCTCTGTTACGTCATTGTCATGGTTGTTACAGTTTAGCTGTAGAGCTTCAGACCTCACATCATGAAGGGTCCCAGTTGCTCTTGAATTCCGGGTGTGGTCAAATGGAGTCATCATGTTAACCTCTGTGTTCTGGAGAGAAGGGATGAAAAATTTATTTCAATGTATTGTATCTTGGCTTACTCATCTCATGATTTCATCTTATTCTCACAGTCACCTCAGGCTCCATGATAGACAACAGGTCCTGCCATTCAAGCTCCAGGTCCAAGGATGGGTTTCCGGTGGGGATGATGGGGGGCATTAGTGGCTCCCTGTCAGGGGACTGACACTCCAGATCTCCTCTACCGCCAACATTATGTAACTGAGGACCAAGAAAGCAGGAAAAATGCTGAGTAAAGAAGTCTACTATTCTCCACCCCTTCTGCTATCTTCTGACACTATTTTGCAAGGGCACTGTTGTTGCATCCTAGGGTTAGCACCGCACAACATGATTGTGACTGGAAAAAACACAAACAATCCAGCATTTTTACCCCTATACCAGAATGATTATGGGTTCAGTGAGACATTTCTCCAGCAGAAAATAATAAACGAAATATGGCGATAGGTCTGGCTATGCAAGAGACAAGAAGAAGAACACAACAGAATGGACTGAAAAGAAGAGAAGAGAAAATAGGAGGCTATACCTGTTGTTCTTCTGTGAAGGGAAAGGTTTCTTCCAAAAGCCTTAAACACTCCTGGAGGGAGAAAGAAGTCTGAAAATATAGAGACAGAGGAACAGAAAGGCAGAGAGAGAGGTTTAGAGACAAAAGAAGACAAGCAGGTGGTCTGCATTTGACTTAACCCCAGTTTTGACCAACTGGTTGACCCAGTGTGTTTTTTTAATAGCCTCACTTTACTCATAGTTTCAATTACTGATATTAACAACAGACAGGGCGTGGATGGATGATCTATTCTTGTCAGACACTACACCCCAGTCATTGAGAATCAGTGCTTTATGGTATGTCCCTTCACCAAGTAACAGTTTCAGTCTGTCCCTCATGTGGCACCATGAGGGTGAGATTTCTAAGAATAAACACAGTTTTCATTTGTCAGAATTAACCTGTCAGCCTATGTGCCTCTTTCTGTCTCTCTTATCCATTGCAGTTTAATTCTAATAATGTCAGTCTAGTCTTTCCATCTTCACCTGATCCTGTCACAAACCAAACACTTCTCCCCTCTGACCTGCAGTGCTATGTGGGAAAGGTGAAAATGTAGCAGAATTCTTTTTCATAAGGCAGGCTTCTCTGCCCTAAAAACAAGGGACAGCACCACAACATACGCAAATCCATGTTTTATATTTTTAGATTGTCACTACAAAATGTGTCTGAAGGTGAACTGAAATAAGCTAATTGTTTACACATTTAGTTTTATTTTATCTTTCTCACACACACACATACACACACACACACACACACACACACACATACACACACTAGTGTATTTTACAGGTTAGAAATCAGCTTAAGTGCCACAATGCTTTTCTATTCTGCTGAGCTGGCAGCTTTCCAGCATTTGAAGATGAAGCATCAGCAGCTCTTATTCCAAGCATGACAGACGCTGTGATCACCTCGTCTAATACACAGTTTTATATGTCAGGCTGGTAGTCACTGATACAGGATTTTTTAAAGGTCCAGTGTGTAATGTTGAGGAGGCTTTATTGGTAGAAATGGAATATTCATAGGTATGTTTCCACCTGAATCACTTGAATATAGGAATCGTTATGTTGAATGACCCACGTGTTGCTTTCAACTAATTGTCTAACCGCCATGTTTCTACAGTTGCCCAGAACTACCTGTGAAGGAACAGTTCAACATTTTGGGAAAATCTGGCTGGTAGCGCCTTTTACATATTACACACCTGCACATTTCCCTAAATGTCGAACTGTTTCTTAAATTATGCTTCGTGGGATTTTGTTGTTTTAAAGTTCACTAAACTGCTACAAGGCTGTGGTCACATGAGCAGACCTATGGCCCATATTCATTACAAACTGTACCAAACCTAATGGCAATCATACAGTAGTTTTGTAATATTATAATATACAATACTGTAGCATGTTATTATCACAATTAAACCATAAGTACTGACTATGTCTTACCTGGTCTACTTCATTCTGAGTTAGCTCTCCGTTGTTAGCGTGGTTGTAGGAACCTCCTGGTCTTCCCCCTCCCCCTGCTCTCCTGTAACTCCTATGCATCCTGTCCAGGTCTTCCTCCTCCTCTTCCTCCTCCTCCTCCTCTCCTCTCTCATCCAGAGCACCACTGTGATTCAGCACATGATGTGTTTCTTCCTGGTTGCAGCATCAAAAATGAAGAGTGATACGGTCAGTGCAGCCATTACGCCACAGCGAAACTGTCCAAAGTACCTTAATAATGGGTTAACATTTCATCTGATTAATGCACAGTCTCTAGAGACAGACCAGCAGACCTGATAACCACTACACTATGGAACCCCATGTTTCATGCTGCTCAGTTTCATGATACATGACATTAAAGCAGCATTAATTAAAATGTACCTCAGTTCACTAATTATCAACTGTAAAGAGGGGCATCAATCTTCTCTTTTAAGTCTCATTAAGCATATTTTCTGCTTTTTCTGCTTTATAGTACCTGAACCCATCCTGTAAAGCAGATGTGATACATCTCACATAGTTATTAATAAGGCTGCTTTAAAAAATGCAAAGAAATAAATATATAAATATATTTTGTCATTATTTTGTGTGAATATTCAGTCATAATAAACAATAATATGATAAGAAAAGAAAAGAACAATTATTTTAGTAGTAGTCGACAACCGCAGCTCCCATGAGGCTTTGACAATGTGCCAGTGGGTAGGCCTTCCTTTGGACATGTATTTGGCTTATGCTATTAGTTATACAACACAGAGAGACTGAACCCATGCTATCATCATGCTAACCACTGGAGGAGTATAATGCTGTTGTACTGCTGTCTTCTATAGTATGAGCCTGTATGTACAGAACATGAAGACTTTACCCAGAGACAGACAGCCAGGCTCAGAATAACTTTAACCTTCTCCTGACCTGGCTGGGGGCTTACAGACAAACCCAAAGACCCTCAGCAGCTGGTCAGCAAGGACACGCATGTGGCTTTGAACATATGTGGGAACTGCTGGGTCTACATAATTTTATAAGGAGTATGGTATAGACCTGCTCTATTTGAAAAGTGTGCTGAGATATGTTATGAATTGGCGCTATACAAATAAAATTTTATTGAATTAAATTGAATATATGGGTCAAGCCTGTCGACATAACCCTTATTTTACTGCATGACTGTAAATGAGATCCCAGGTTTTATTCATGCTCATTTTGTTCAGCACAAACAAATCCAATGTTCCCACTTTAGCATTATCTGCAACAGTGTGTGAACACCACTGAGAGCCGATACTTCAGACTCTGGACAGATGATAGCTCGTGAAGCCCTCAGGCACCACCCAACAAAAACATTCTGCCTGTTAATACACCAAACCACACAGTTCAAGGACCTAAGGAGCCACAGGAAAAACATACAGATCTAAGCTCAAGCTTTAATTTTAACAGCCCTTAACTATTATCCTTGTAAGATCACAGAATCCATCTTGCCACACTACAAGCTATGTGCTTGTGTATGGATCACAGTGGTTTGGACCAATCAGCGTCATATGGGGAACTACTGGCAGCCTACAGCATAAGCTATGGGCG